GGGGGGGGGGGTCTTGAGCATGGGCAGCAGGCCATCGACGCGCCCCACGGCCTCGGCGTCGAGGCGCGCCTACTTGTCCTGCTCGGCCGGGTCCGGGTCCGGCGCCAGGCTGCAGCGGTGCAGGGTCGCGTCGTCGAAGACCTTTCGCTTTCGTAAATATAAGGATGTGGCTGGGTTGCGGACCTGCTCCTGCTAAAAAAAAACCCGCACTGCAACGTAATCCCTCCCTAGGCGGGCAAGGTGGCGTCGATATTAAGCGCCAATAAATTCGCACTTTTAAACTATTCAACTACAAGGCAAATTATGTGGGTTAACGGACCCCGCGACGAAAACAGCATTTGATATCTTTAGAAACCATTTATAGCGTGGCGGCGGAGAAAGTATGTTGTTAAATACGATCTCTAAATAAAACAGCTAAAAAAAAAAGCATAACAAAACTGGATTGAAACGCTAAACAATGAAAGCAGAAGAGTACCACAGAAAAAACGCAGTGGAAAAAAAGCAGAAGAAAACAAAAGAACAAAATGTGGGTTAAAAGAGAATGAAAAAGGCAAAAACTCCACGCTTCCCCGAATTCCAACGCTAACAAAAATAGCCGACGTTTTCGTCGCACCACTGGCCTGGGTGGAACAGCAACCGCTTAGCAGCCCGACCACTGGCCAGTGCCGCACACGGCGAGCTTGGCCCCACCGCTCTCACCGCTCCGGAACCCGGCCTTCATCTTCCGGGACCGGGTGCTCAGCCTAGGGGCGATCTGCTCGGGCTCCTCGCTGATGGGAGCCTCGTCGGCCTCCTCGTTGATGGCGGCGGCCCCCTCGGCGCGGGAGGCGAGCGCCTGCGCGGCGGCCGCGGCAGCGGTCGCGGAAACGCCCCGCTGCGCGATGCGGACGGCGGCCACGCCGTTGTCGGTGGCTAAAGGCGCGGCGGCGACCTGGGAGGCGGCCAGGAGGGCCAGGAGGGCGGTGCGGACGGCGGCGGAGAAGTACATTTTTGTTTGGTAGCGTTAATGGGTGGGAGAAAGTTGGTGGTTTGATGAGGACGGCTTGATAAGTGCCTAGTCGATTGGATCGAAAGCAAAGTAGAATGTGGTTAAATGAAGTGGCTGATAGTTAGGAGAGGAGAAGCTGAGAATCTGGTAGGTGGTGGTGGAAAAGGGAAATTACAAAACTTATGGAGGCTGGAGAGCCACGCATTTATACTCCGTCGTAGTTCTTCATGGGTGCTTTTATTTCTAGGCTGGTGGAAACATTCTAGATAGGTTGCCAAAATAAGCATCTAAG